AATAAGAGGTCACTGTCATCAAGCAAATTTACAAGGATGGTTCAGTTGTGATAAGATAGTGAATAATAATGAAGGGACATTGCTTGCGTCTTAGCTGGAGTGTGGTTCATAACAGTCACAGAAAGGGCTTGAACTGGAGATGTTTCTGAAGGCTCCAGAACAAATCTGCAAGGCCTGGTGGTACACAGGATCTAGCTTCCGTAAAGTGGAAGACCGTGCCGAGCCATAGTTCAGTCTAGAGCATACAAGAGCTCTATAAATGCGAAGCACCCCAGGAGGTGTTCGCCAAGACTTTTAAAATATTTAGTGTTTTTAAACACTTCTTTCTCAGGTTTAAAACATGAGAGAAGAAAGTCAATTTTCGGTCAAACATCACTCCTAAAAACTTGACTTCTGGTACGACAGGAATTAAAGAATTTTGAAATAGAAGCTCCGGCTCGGGATGCATATTTCTCTTTCGGCAAAAGTGCATGCAGACAGTCTTTTGCTTTAAAAATATATACACATGTTTTTCTGACCATTTCTCAATCCTGTTAAGAGCAATCTGTAACTGTCTTTTGACAAATCTCATATCTGCACCACGACAACTTATTTGGAGGTCATCCACATATAATGACCATGACACAGTAGGGGGGAGTTCCTTTAAAATAGTATTTATTTTTAAACTAAATAAAGTAACACTTAAAACGCAGCCTTGAGGCACACCCTCTTCTTGTTCAAATACATCTGAGAAAACAGAGCCAATCCTCACCTGAAAAGTCCTAGTGCTCAAAAAATTTTGTATGAAAATTGGTAAATTGCCATGCAAGCCACAAGAGTGAAGTTCTCGTAAAATGCCATACCTCCAGGTCTTGTCATAAGCTTTCTCCATGTCAAAGAACACAGACACAAGGTGATTACTCCTGTCAAAAGCTTTACGAATGGAGGTCTCCAACATGAGAATATTGTCATTTAGATCTACCTTTACAGAAACCACTCTGGTATGGTGAGATTACATTGTTTTTCTCAAAATAGTAGACTAAGCTTCAATTTATCATTTTTTCAAAACTTCAGATGCAACTAGTTAATGCGATAGGCCAATAATTAGAGGGATTCTTCAGGTCTTTGCCTGGTTTAACTATGGGAATGACAACAGCTTTTTTTTCCACAAACTGGGAAAAACAGTGCTCTTCCACACTCGAGATGAAGAGAGCCGTGAGGAAAGATGCTTCACGCATTTTCATAGCTGACACCATCTGGACCCGGACTGGACCTATGAGTCTGAAGCAGGAGCCTCTCTTTAGCTCAAGCATAGCAAAATCTTTATTATAGGCTCTGAGTTACTAGAGTTTAAAGATACGGGAGTTCTCTCTGAGTATTTCCTCATGGAAAGAAATGCTGGTAGATAGTTGCTGCCGCTAGAAACAGCCACAAAGGTCTCACCAATAATATTTACAATTTCTTCCGTAGTGCTAATTACCCGGCCATCTTTTTCCAAGATGGAAAGTGCGTGATCATTATACATACCGCATCCTTTTCTAACTCTCTCCCATTCCTTTTTACTCGGAGTAGAGGATGTTATTGATGACACATAGTGTATCCCCAAATCCCTCTGGCTCTTTCGTCATACTTTTCTTGCATTTGCTTTTGCTTTTTTGAAAGCTAGGAGATTTGACAAAGTGGGGTACCTACGAAAAATTCCCCAGGCTTTTCTCTGTTCTCTAAGGGTTTCTTGACACTCACAGTTCCACCATGGCAATATTTTCATATCATTCTTGATGTCATCGGTATAGAGGTTTTAGCTGCCTACATTATTTTATCAGCAACGGCTTTCACTGCATCATCGATTTCCACACCTTCCACCATCTCTTCTGTGAGCTCTGCAAGAGATGAGAAGAGCTGCCAGTCTGCCTTCTCAAGTATAAATCGAGGAGATCTTGATATGGGATTTGAAACTAAAGGAGAAAAATTATCACTATTATGGAGATCATTCCCAACGTCAAAAGTGAAAAAGGGCAAAAGAGATGGTGAACAGATGGCAAGGTCTAGAGCGTGAAAAGTCTTTGTAGGCTCATAGAAGTAGGTAACTTTTCCATTGTTTAGGAGACAAAGAGAATGATCTTCAATCATTATCTCGATTTGTCTACCTCGAGGATTAGTATCCTTGTTCCCCCAAAGCAAACTATGGCCGTTAAAGTCGCCTATTATGACAAAAGGTTCAGGCAGTTGCTCTATTAGACTATCCAAATCCCTTTGATCAATGTGGACATTTGGAGGCAAATAAACAGAACAAACTGAAACCAGGGTCCTTAAATTTATTTGGATGGCAACAACTTGAAGGCTTGTAATTAAAGGAAGTGAATTGCTTGGGTAGTCTAGTGAGGCAAGGAGACTTACACCTCCACTGGCACGTTCACCTACAATATTGTCTTTCCTAAAAATTGCTAGAACCTTCGAAAGTTTAGTTTGCTTTCCTGGTTTCAGTAGAGTTTTCCTGTCAATGCCAAAACCACAGGATGATGCAAATTGATCAAGTCTTTGATGTTATCAAGATGTTGATGGAAAGCCGCGACAATTCCAAGAAATGAGGGTGGCCATTATTCATTATTTTTGTCTTTCCTATGCTGCGTTTTGGTTTTATGTGGAAGTAGGTTACGTCGGGAATGTTTAAGTTTCCTCGGAATGTTTAAGCTCCTCTTCCGAGTCAACCTCCATAGCTCAAGATGCTCAAGAGCTAGAGCTGACACTTATTTTTCTATCAGGCTTTGATGTTTTCTGTATTTTTTTGCTTCTCATAAGGTTTTCTTTCACTTTATTATATTCTATTGTTATTATTGAATGTTTCGGTTTCGCTGGTGTATTTTGTTGAGGAATTTTGGACTGGTTGTACATTTTGGACTGGTTGCTTATTTGGTGTGTGGATTGTCTGGGTGCCTATGGATTTGACCGATTTTACTGCGCTTGCATAGGATACAGTTTTTCGAGACTGAGAATCTGCTACTAGTTTTCTTGCTTCTGCATAAGGAATATTTCTAGTTATTTTTATATTTTGCACTCCTTCTCAACTGCCATTTTGGGCAAAGTCGAGAGAATACCGTGTGCTCCCCTTTGAAATTTGCACATAGTGGGCTGGCACTACAATTTTCACTGTCATGGCCTTCCACAGAGCAACGTGCACATGTGAGTTTGCCACGACAGGACATTTTTGAGTGGCCAAATCGCTGGCATTGAACATCGTAAGGTGTTAGGTATGTAAGGTCTTACGGGGCAGTGCAAATACCCTGGCCTTAATACTTTTTCGGCAGATTCAGGCGAATTGAAAGTCAGGATTACGTGTGTTTCGTATTGACCAGCTTTGCTTTGCATCTCTTGATACGCCTTACAGCACTGACATTCTGATCGGACAGTTCTGAGACAAATTTCTTCAGGTCAAGACAAATAGGTAACTCCCCGACTGTAATTCAATGGATTTATGTTTAGGATACATTGTTTTTTGTCACATTAACGTCGACTTGCCCAAGTTTTTTCAGAGTTTGAGAAGGGTAGAAGTCTGAGCTGGGGAAACTGTTTCTATGAGAAGATCTCCAGAGCGCAGTCGCTTTATTGTCTCTTTGGCTCGCAAATAGTCTCTTGTATATGTTTTTGTATCAGGAATGATGACATTTTTAGAAGTTCGCCTTTTGAGTTAGTTATGACAAGGAATATAGGTAGAGTTTCTTTAGAATTTGCATTCACATTCGTTTTTACTTTTTTTTGATGGAAGACAAGTTTCGTATTTTTCATTTGAAAAGGCCATATTGAAGATGAAGTATGATTCGGACACAGCAGCCCCACCCACTACGGAGACCAACAAGGGGATGCAGATTCCTGTGCCAGGGCTAACCAGGTCTATACGCAAACTGAAGCCCCACAGTCAGCTTTCCTGAAAGCAGGTACTCCCGAGAGCTTATCCCCAAGCCACTGACACAAGGACTAGTGACCAGCCGATTGACACCCGTGAGGACGACTAAGGTGCCTCCCGTTTAGCTGAAGCCGAGGCCAATGCAGTGTTTTGGGTTCTGCTTCAGCTAAACGGGAGGCACCTTAGTTTCGCTGGATAGGAGGGTCCTGGTAGTTGAGGGGCGAGTTAGGCACCTCGCCCCTCAACTACCAGGACCTTCCTATCCAGCGAAACGGGTCGCCACGCACAGCAAACACATGGACAGTTTTCTCGCCACTCAGGAAACAAGAGACAAGGGCCGTTCCAGTTCATCGTGACGAGCCGCAAACTCCGAAGAGAGAAACCACAAGGGAGAAGGGAAGGGAAAAAGTTCCAGCCAAGAGGAGAGGAGACGGAAAAGAGGATAGATCACTGGGGCTCCAGGATCGTGACACCCGTCTCACCAAGAAGATGATCCCCTGAAGGGATAGGGTACCTCGGGATTACCACACCCGTACTCACAAAAGTGGGCCCCTGAGGGCGATTTAATAAAGAGAATTTCTTAAATATAATTAGAACTGTTTACTTAAAATGGTAAATTTGAAAGTTTAAAACCATTCTGCTATCTAAGAAGATTTGTTAATATTTATCTAGGTAAGAAACTTATTTAAGATGCACTACAAATCTGACATTTGATAGGTTGATTATGTATCAGTTTTGTGTATGTCATTAATCTATCAATTTTACTGTTCAAAACTGATATATATACATCAGCGACTAAAATCTACAACTTGGAAAGTTTTTAATTCTTACAGAGAATAAAAAAGATCTGGCTCACCATTCCTTTAAGCATCATAAAAAATGAGTGTAAAAGAAATTAATTTTTACTTTAGCACACGCCAGACTTTAAATTAATATTTGTTTTGCATGCACAATTTTTACAATATTGATAAACGAAAAAAAAGGTCAGTCTCAATAGAATGTCCCATTAATGATGATAAATGACTTTTGTAGCACCCAATCTTCTTGGGAAAGAAATAGGGAACAGGAAACGTCGCACACTTTGTGGATTAAATAAGAGGGGGATGGGTATCTTCGATCAAATTTGACGCAGTTTGTACCCTACCGCACAAACAGTGTATCAGTAATTTGTAGCTGTCAATTACATAATTAATATTGAGTGATATGTGATTTTCTACCTAAATAAAAAAATCTGTTACTTTAAAATTCAGCCAGAATGATTGGTAAATGTTTGGTGAGATCTCTGCCAGCTTTCATGGTCAGCAAGAAAATATGCAATACTGAAACGGCCCCACAGCACTTAACTGCATATACAAAATCATTACTTGATACATTAAAAAAAATTATAGGAAATTTCTATTTTTTCCTAATTCTGTATTTTCTGGTTATCTGCATCCTCGGTTTCATCATTTGGTAAAACTGCCATGTTTTGGTGCATTTTCCCAGTATGGGTAAAATAATAGTTAACCTATGTATATGTATACCACAAATTTTTTTTGAGTAAACATTTAATTATATCCTTTATATTTAACTGTCATATTGCTGAACAGTATCCACCGACAGTAAAAATATGCAAATATCTATCACACAGATTTTTGTTTTTATTTTTCCCTTCTCCATAAAATATCTTGTTCTCATAAAATGTTTCTTTTTATATTACAGTCAAAAGTCTAATCCAGACTCGTCGGGACTTCAGCGATTCCGGATTATTGGTTTTTCCGGATTATAGATCATCAGTTTAAATCTGGTAAGATGGCATGCAGAAAATATAAAATTAAAAATATGAAACCGTAATTTATGAAATAAAGAGCAATTATGATCTAAAGGGTATCAAAATTTACCCCCCCAAAAAAAAACCTAAATATTTATTTGTTTACTTTACTAAACATTTCTTTCAACGTGCGCATGCGTAAAGCATACAATACGCATAGTCGAAATTAGAAAATTGCAACCAGAAAACTATTTGATGTGTATTTGTGATATTTACGATGACGAGGAAATTGATTTAAATTATATCGGAGTACATCGAGATGAAATACTGCATTTAGTGAGGAATTATAAGCCGAATAAAATAAAAACATCGGCCCTGAAGATGAGGATGGTGCTCGCAGATCAACTTCCAGTTCACTGCGTGCCACGACATCACCCCCCCCGGCAGCAGAGCAGCATGAAATTGATAAACAGATTTTGGAATGGTTAGAGAAACAAATCACTTCTCTGTGACTCTCTTCATGCCTTTATTCCTTTTTTGCAGCAATTCCACTTTTTGTTTAATGGGCATCGAAACACGCTTTCGCTTTGTAGATCCTTTGGCAGCTCCAGAATTGGAAACTGTTTTTGACATAATCGAAAGTTCAAACTTATTTTTATAAAATTTCTCTAACAGTCTGCAAAAAATAATAAGCCAGATCCAATTTGAAGATTAAGGATTAACTCAATCTGCAACATTAACTGAAATAGATAATTAGATAATTTTAGCTTAGCTTATACCGTCTGCTATACATTAAGTGCGCATGCTTAAACCTATTATGCGCATGCAGAAACATATTATGCGTACAGGTATTTTGTGCATGCGTATACGTTTACGCATGCGCAGAAAGTTTGCAGCTTTGAGGTCCGGATTATAGATCATTCCAGATTATGGACGTCTGGATTAAAGACTTTTGACTGTATACAATACAAAGTCCGAAACACAAACTGGTCGGGACTTTGGCGATTCTGGATTTGGGATTTTTCTGGATAACAGATCATCAATTTAAATCTGGTAAGATGGCATGCAGAAATTATACAATTAAAATATGAAATTGTAATTTATGAAATAAAGAACAATTATGATTTAAAGGGTATCAAAATTTACAAAAAAAAAAAAAAAAAAAAAAGCTTAATACTTATTTGTTTATTTTATTAAACTTTATTAAACATTTCTTTCAATGTAAGTTGTTTAAGGTGCTTCCACAAAAAATTCAAAAAGTTTCTTTTTCTTTTTTCTTGTGTCATATACAGTGGACTTTCCAATGCAATACTTCTCTCATAATTTTGAGACGGCTATGCCTTTATCCATTTTTTGCAGCAATTTCACTTTTTGTTTAATGGACATCGAAAATGGTTTCATGGTTTCTAGAACCATGTTTGTAGTCCAATAAACCTTTGGCAACTCCAGAATTGAAAACTCTTTTCGACATAATCGAAAGTTCAAGCTTAGTTTTTATGAAATTGCTGTAATAATAACACTTTGCAAAAAATAATAAGCTGGATCAAATTAGAAGATCAGGGAGCAGCGCAGTCTGTTACATTAATTGAAGTGTTTTATAATCAGTAAAGATAACTTTAGCCTAGCTTAATAGCATCCATTATTTATCCGGAACCGCTGTGTATCACAAGATTGGCAACGAAAGCCAAGTTGTTTCACTAAATTGTGTCTTGCTCCTGTTACATACTGAATTAAGCCTGAATTATATTAGTTATTTACTATACCTACGTTTATTTCTTGCACATGCTTAAAACTAATCCAAGTCCTGAATAAATAAACTCCCACATTTACTAAAGGCTTTACCTAGGGCCAGCACTTGATACCGCCTGGTGCTGTCTCTACGGGTCCTAAATTCTGCTACAAAGCGCTTTTCTAAGTTCTAAATTTTCACCGAGCATAAGCTTTGGATCCCAGTGCTTTCCCTAAATCATAAAAACTTCTCATCCCTTAGTTTTGCCGCTCGGTGCTTCCCCAAATTCCAAAAATTTCATCTTCCCTAAATTCTGCGGCTGCTTCTGGGTTTATGGGGAATAACATATCAGTTATTTTCAATTAAAATTAAAAAAAATTAGGATTAAAACTATTAATATTAATTAATAAATAATTATAATATAAATAATATTAAATTATAATATAATTATATTAATTATTATTAAAAAATTATTATTAAAAATTATTAAATATATTAATAATAATAATTAAAATTATTATTATTATTATATAATTAAAAATTATTATTAATATTATTAAAAATCTATAATCATCGCCAAGAGTAATGTTAGCTATAAAAGGTTGCCATACTCTTGTTATTCAATTACTAATGTAAAAAAAGTTTAGACATCACAGCATAAGTTATTACTGAAGTTGTCATGTATTGATACACATGCAGTGATGAAAGCAAAATATAATAAATAATGAGTTGCCAGGTCGACATCAGGTATATAAAATAGATTTCTGTTTAAGATGTATGCCAAGTAGATACTCAGTTATGGAGACAAATTATTAATCTTGCAGATTTATGCTTATATGATTGTTTTTCCATAACGAGGTATTTTATTTAACACCTAAGTGAAATTAAGAATTGGAATTTTTAAGTGAAAATCTTTGCATGTTTTATTATAGAAGTAAAAATCAAATGCACATGTGTAAAGCATTAATAATAATAATAATAAATTTTGTGGCTTTGAGGTCAAGATTTTAGATCATTCCGGATAATGGACGTCTGGATTTTGGACTTTGTACTGTATTACTGAATCCAACAGCATCTATCAGCCATAAAGACAGCCAAACAAATTTTTTTTCATCAATTCACAAAATTCGCCAAATTTGCCAAACTCACAAATCAACCAAATTCCCAAAATCACAATATTAGCAACTTTTTTGGAGAGAGGTGTGCAGATAATCAGAAAGTACCCAGTTTTCTTTCAGAGGAGGGCAAATAGTTGTTTTACAATATGCAAAACTTTCCTCGCATCATGCACCCTAGATTTGAAAATACAGTTATAATTTGAAAATACTGTTTCAGAAAAATGAATAAATTATAATGTTAAAGCCTGATAATATACTTCAACTGAAAAATTATTTTCCATTTAATCACATAGTGTAGATTCAAATTTTGAAATGAATAATTTGATTCTTAATTAAAAGTATATGTGGAAAATCCACAAAAAAATAGTCTGACATAATAATAATAAAACTGAATGTAAAAATAAATAGTGCACACAAACTCCTTCTACATAATCCAGATATCAGGGATTTTTATGATTGCATTCTTTGAAAAATGCACATTTATAAATGCCTCACAATAAAACCTTTTTTTATTACTTGTATTATAGATAATGTAACTGTGAACAGAAGTAACAAATATTAAATATTAAGAGTAGAATAACATAATCAATATTAAAGGCTTAAATTTAAATTAAAAAGCATGCCAATGTAAAATTTAAAATTAGACCCCCCAAAAAATTCAGTTTTGCATAGATTTTGAGGACAATCAGACTCTTCTTCAGAAGCAAAAATGGGATGAATACAACCATTTCATATTAAAATCAATCAAAATTATGACACATTAGTCCTAAATTTAAAATTTCTACTGTGACAGAGAAAAACTCTGAAATATAATTCAAGATTATGACTATAAAATATTTGCTTACCTGCACTAGCAGTTAACTGTGTTGAGTCATATACTTTCTGTCTAATTTCTTTAACAATCTCATAAGCCATTGCATCTCGCTCTTCAACAGAAATAATTTGACAACATCTCAAGCATTTTTCACAGTTTTCTTCAATGCGAATTACAGCATCAAATTCACCTTCAGAAGCTGAATTTTCATGGTAGTTTCTCAGACAGTTTCCGTTATGAAGTTTCATCTTGTATTTCTTCTTAATATAGTTTGTTAAATCTAAATATACTTCATCTAAACTAGCACCACAGTAATCAGGATCATAATCTTTCACAATATTTCGAATTTTATCACTTACTTTCCTATATTTAGTAAAATTGCAAGGTACTATAACAAGCTCTGGACATAACTTCTTTGCAATGAAACCAGGCATTGCAGCACGCACACCATACTTCCTAGCATGGTAATTTGATGTGGACTGAGAGAAAAAAGAAGAGGGAAAAATCATTGTTAGAAATTTTCTTATATACTATAACAGAGACATTATAAAAATTATATGAAGAAAAATAAAAACTTGTTTTTCTCATAAGTTGCCACAACAGTTTTTCGGAAATTGTTACAAGCTCTTACGAATTTCCACTATAGTAATAAACAATCTATAAATCTTCACAAAAGGAAAATTAATATAGTACTCTGCAATTTTGTACACAGGCAGCATTTCCTACTTACTTCTGATGAAAAAGGTTATTTGATATTTTCAAGAACAAATTTGCCTTTAAAATTCTGAATTGATTTGGAATTTATGCTTTATATTTAAATTTGCAAGTATGAAGTTTGACTTATATTAGCAGCCCAAATTTTACTGATGAGAATATTAAAAATCGATATTATTTACTACTACATATTCCCAAAACCTATTTCAAAACTTAAAATCTAATGTCTGATACAATCTGTATGTTGTTTGAATAATATGGTGCCTTCCAATAAATTTATGTCTACTTAAAATGACATTAAAGCACTTACACACAATCTTCTTGTTTCATCAGCTGAAATCTAAATACTAGTACCCTATTCCATTCTTTCCTCCTTATGCATTTCCATTTTAACATTACTCATTTTGAGCATTGTACAGGACCAAAGACAACACAAAAGAGGACAGCAGAAAAATCTTTTATTAGAATTACAAGTTTTCAATGTGCCCACCTTCGTAGATGATAACACATTGTATGCAGGAGACTGTGGACAACAAATCTGAACAAAACATCACAGGAGGAATATACATAATTTCACATTTTATGACATCTTTGAATTCTGATTCTTATGGATTTGATGTGTACACCTTTAATTTTTAATAACCCCAGAACTAGCAACCAACATGTTTAAAACTTGTAATTCAATAAATGTTTCCTCCCTCTCCTCTCTTTATTATCATTGGTCCTTTACAATGCTCTTCTTTGCAAATGTTTTACACTGGCAATTTTTGTAATATGCATATCATTTCAATACCATTTATGGTTTCTCAGTGCCCGGATCAATTTGTGCAGGAAAAATATAGGTGTTTCCAATCAAAAATTAAATATTTGTTCACTATAATCATGACATGCGAGCTCTATTACTTTAAAGGGCTTCTTTATCAAACATTTATTGGATCAATTTCAGAGCTTTGGTTGCTAATCTGCCTAACATTTGACCAAATTTGATATCTGTATGTCGTTAAAATTCTCACATGATGAGTTCAGCCTTGAACATTATAACATACATGAGTGAACCTAATATTAACCAGCCTAGACTAACGGTTTGCCATCAATAAATAATATACATAGCTGTACTTGAACCTAAAATGCTTTCTGAAGATCAGTGTACACTGGATCACCACAACAATTAGCACATGACATTGTTGATTATTATGACACATACATATCATATATGCAAGACAAGAAAAAAAAATATTTTGAAAATTAATCCCAAAATTTGCCAGAAGAGGTTGCAAATGACATTTTTGTCTTTTTGAAACATTATTATTATTATGTGCCTAAAGACTTGTTATCTTATATTTCTAATGTGGTTCCTAATTTACAGTTTACATTCAACGAAAGAACTAACTATATTATCTGATACCTTATTCTACTCCGCAAAACACTCAGAAACAAACTTAAACAAAAATTAATATGTAACCCAGCAATGATTCCTCATGATTTCTTTCAGCATCTCACAAAGCCGTTGCATTTTACTTTTATCATAAATGAAGTAATAAATTCTGCTGTGTACTTGAGCTGTATATATAAAACAGAATTTGAATAATAATAATAAAAAGATTTGGAGAAATAACAGTTATCTACTAAGTTTTATATTTTATATATTAAAAGTAGCTTGTATACACATTTAAAGGAAAAAAAAAATTAAATATGTACTGCCAGAGCTCATGTAAAAAACCAAGTAAATATAAATTTATTGAAACAGAATGTTATTACCTGAAAAGCCTTAAGATTACATCAATATTCAAGAAATACACTACACATTTGTAATAGCCCCAATATCTGGAAGTGAATTAGAAAAAACAATTTATTTAAAACAGATATGTTTGGATCTTTAGGATTATTTTTCTTGTGAGAAGAATCTAGAAGATGATTAGGAAAGACAGCAATAAAGCATTACTAACAACAAAATCACAAAAAGTTTACAGCTTCACCATTATTTAATGAGATAATAGTAATGAAACACCACATACAGGATCAACATCCAGGAGATTAATAAAGCAGAATTTCCAAAATTTAAGAACAGCATACATAGATTCAGTAGTAGCATTTATGAAATGAGTAGATCTTTATTTAAATATGTAAAAGATCATACACCGTTAAAAAATAATTTTGAATTAAGTTTAAATCATAGGCTCCACATCAAAACTGAAGAAAATACAGAAATAATTAGATCAAGTTGTAGTAGAAAAAATTTAGACTCTTTATTGTACATTTGAATGTTAGCGATTCTGACTGCCATATTGATGGGCGTGGGTTTGAATCCCTGAGGGTACTTACGCATTAGCACCTTGTCCACTTTCTTGAAATTTATGGGAGTAAAAGAATGATGACTTATAACTGTAAAAAATTTATTACATGCAAACATATTATAGCAAATAAACCTATTTACAGCTGGGCTTTTCTTTCTTTTGCTATGGTTTCTTTTGCTGTGAAATTTCTTGGCAATCACTTTAAGAAGAGATGCAAAGCAATGTTCCTTTCAGTGATTTTGCAGAAAAATACTGTTTTCTGTAGAAATTTAACAGCAGTTTCTTCCACAGCAGGCTAATTTCCAAAAACCATATTTTAAACTTGAGTTAAAGACAAAAAGGTATCATAATTTTTCTTTAAAATCATTTGGAATTTTGAATACAACAAAAAGAACACAGATGAAAATGATGACATCAGGTAAACTGAATTCTGATTGATGATTTGAGCTTAAGGTCGTTGCAATAATACGTAAGTATTTCCCCAAAAAGGCATGGATGTTTGTAAGTGTATAGTGTCTGTGTGGCATGAATGCACACAAAATACTGGCAAGCCAAAAGTCCTTTCATTTGGTGATAGGAGAAGAAGGGTGGAAGACCCTCTGACCATTCTCTGGATTGTTCCTCCTCAAAACTGGAGTTCAGCAGCACAGTTAATGTTGTGAGACTATAACTGTATGGCCAATAGTGAATTCTGGTGTCTCGCTCACTTGTACCTATACCTGCTGCACATTATAAAACAAAGAACAAAATAATCCTAGTTGCTACAGGAAAACCAAAACCAATAACCAGGAAGGCATGCAATCCATGAAAGCTTTGAAAAAATCTTGGTAAGGTACATTGATGTATTTTCAGCATGTAAGAATGTTGATTTTAATAATATTTAGTTCTATATTTATTGAGTAAATCCTCAAAATGACATACTTCTTGAAACTTATCACTAGGTACATTATATACAATATAATTATATAAAAATACCTTTTTAAAAAATATTCAAGCTATTTTAATTAAAAACAAAACCAAAAAATATTTACATACATTAAAGAAAATCATGATATGTATTCTGACAATGACTTACCATGTAATGTTAACTAGAGTGTAAAAATACACAAAACTTCTCTAAACACAATTTCAGTAGGTATGACAATCAGAATCAGTTAACATAATAAAAAGAAAGGATATTTTTCACTTTAGGTAAGTGATTAATCGATTAACGCAATTTTCTTCTATTACATAAAATTTCTGTCCCCCATCTGCAGCAATGAATTTACTTTACTCTCATTAAATCAGAAAAGTAGAGACAGCGTTACTTAATTAAGTCAAAGCTGACAACAGATACCAGCCTAACAAGAGGAATGCTTTCATGCAGGTCTTTCCAAGGAAAAGACTCTCATATTTATATTATACATAAGAAAAATATGAAAATGTCATTTAGCCAACATAGTCAAATGCTGGGAATAGATACTAATTATTACCTAATTATTAGTATCAGAATTTGATTACTTTAATCGCTTGGTAAAAAGATAGCTATGGCTTTTAAGAGATACTATGTAGGTTACCAACATTTGTTATAATTAATAGTTCTCAAAAAATCATTAAAATAATGCTCATTTTGAACAACAGTCTTAGGTATTAATACATTTCACTACAATGCTTATACAAACATGAATTCTGATTTTGATAAATAGGAAAATTTGTTTGGTGGTAAATTGAATAAAAATGAAGATCAATGCATTAATTGAAATGTGGGATTCCTTCTTGTAGGAGAAAAAATGACTATCACTTATATTGTTTGAGCTAGTTTCAAACTTGAATACAGGTTTTGGACTAATACTAACTATAAGAAAACTCAGTGCAGCTGCATTGAGAATGCTGCAAAAATTTTGTTTGAAACTGAATTTGGTCTTTAGTACACATTTTTAAGTACAAACACAACAATAAATAACCTACATATGCATGTACCACATAAGTTTAGGTAGATGTGATGGATGAGTGTTTAGGTAGATGCAGATTAACATGCTTTACTATATAATGGTTATTTCACTAAACAGTAGCCACCAAGCAGTAAGAATGTAAATATTGACTATATAGGCTTTTATTTTTCTTGTAAAATTTCTTTAATATATATATATATATATATATATATATATATGTGTGTGTGTGTGTGTGTGTGTGTGTGTGCATGTAAAGCTCTAGATGATTAGGAGATGACTGCAATGGATTTAAGCAGTTAGTTTTATTACATTGTTAGAATGGTGACTCACTGTATCAATTTAGCGAGAGCTGGAAGTGTCACAAATGCATAACATAGAACAGAAATTAGCAGACATGCCACTGGTACATCACCATAATTTTAATTGTTGATGAAGCAAGCCTTGAGAAGCACAATCAGGTACACACACTATCATGGGTACAATGTAGGCCCCATAATTTTCTGTAACTGTTTATATCTTCAGATAATCAATGCATCTTAG